GCGTATGGCCCTTCTTTTCACTACATCTGTGTCTTTGTGGTAAATACCCAGGAGTGCAATTGCTGGGTCATAGGGTAGCTCTATTTTTAATTTTTTGAGGCACCTCCAAACTTTTCCAAAGTGGCTGTACCAACTTGCATTCCCACCAACAGTGTAAGACAGGGTTCCCCTTTCTTCACAACCTCTCCAACATTTGTTGCAAAACCCCTCTATGTCCGTGCCATTACAGGGATGGATCCCTCTGGGAATCTCATGAGAGCGATGGACCAATGTCCAGGAAGAATTACATATCCATAAAATCTTGGGAAGGATTCTAAGGTTTCACACATGCCCTGAAGTGTGGGGAGCCAAAGAGCGAGCTCCTTAGGAGTTACACGGAGATAACCCAGTGATACTGAGAGGTGTAGGCTGGGCCATCGCAGGCAAACTGGGGGAGTCCTCACCTTCCTCGGGCTTCATCCCTGGACTCGCATCGCTGTTCATGCCTCACCTAGAACCTTCTCCCACCGGCACCTGGCCCACTCATTGTCCTCCTAGTGATCCCATCTTGATGGCATGGCAGGGACACCCCTCTCTGGATGTGATGAAGGCTCAAGGTTGGCTGTCGGGCATGGCATAAATGCTAATTAATCAATGGTTACCCATCCATTACGACTGCTGGAAACTCCACCGCCTCTGTCAAATCTCCTGACCGCACCGAGCGACAGGCTCTCCTTCCATGGACCGCCTGAGCACAGGTGGTCTGTGCGGGCTCCTGTGCTGTGTGTCCTGCCTCGGCCTCCCACAAGCTTCAGAGCACCACGCTGGAGCCAAGATTCCAGATTCCAACCTGGCTTGGCCACTCCCTCACCGTGCAACTTTGGGGAAGTTACGTAATAATGTCCCTGGGCACTGATTTTTCTCAGGACTACCTAATAGGGTTGCTGTGAGGATTAAATACATTCTTACTTGTAAAGTACTGAGTACTTGGCACCGAGTAGGAACTACAGAAGCATTAGCACTTACTATTATCTGAAGGGAATAATCTTGTCAAATGCCTTTAAAAAAAAAAAGTGCCTATCAGCCCTTCTCAATGCCGCATACACGGCTGGTGTTCAGAACCTACTTCCCGAGTGTCTGACTAAGGTGGCCGAGAAGGTCAAGAATCAGAGGCTGGAAAGGTAAGTGCCTTCAGCTCCTGCCCTAAGCACTTGTTTGCAAAAGAGCCGGCCTCAAGTTGAGCAGAGAAACAAGGGTCTGGGCCTGCTTAATCCTCTTCCTTGGCTGCCTCGTCCGCACACTCCGATGGCCCAGCTGCTGAGTGGACTGCCACTGCTGTCCGGCTCTATCTTATTTGATCCTCACGAAAGGGCAGGTGGGGCTGCCAGGGCAGACAGTGAGTGACCCCAATCTGACGTGAGGCACTGAGATGCAGAGGGGAGCGGGACCCGCTGCACACACACACAGCCCGCACTGTCTGCCAGCCCGGGGAGGGCCCCCGCAGCTTCCTTCTCCAGTGGCCTCTGGTCACCCACCAAGACTTCCTCATTCCTCCCCCACCACTGGTGCTGCTTCTGGCTCATCTCCCTCCTTCAGGCTTTAAACGTCGCTGTTTTCTCCAGAGCAGAGGCTTGGCCTTCTTCCCACCGCGTGTCCCTCCTTGCTGGTTCCAGCCGTGTTTCAAGTGCCCAACCAGGTACTGGCCTCCCAAACCGGCCAGCGGCCTGACGCCCCTGCTGTTACAGTCCCTTGTTTCCAACTGTCCCCGAACATCTGAAACTCCAAGCCAGCCCCCCTGGTGTCACTGTCCCCTCCGTCGTGTTTGCAGTTCTCTCCTTTACCAGCTGCCTGCTCACTCTTCTACTTGGCATCTGCCCCTGCCTCTTACAGCCAGCTTGGGCCTGCTCTGGAACACTCTGCACACCTGTCCCCGTTCTGGTCATCCTGCCTGGTCCTTCCAGTCACACAAGCCTCCTGATGGGTCCCCTACTTCGAGTCCCTCCTGTTCCTGCAACAGCTGTGATCTTCCCGAGGTAGAGGTTCTCCCTTGGAGCCCTGGATTCCTGAGAGCCGCCTCACATGAAGGTGGGACCTAACATTCAGACTGTTGTTATAGGCTGTACAATGTAGGGGTTCGGGGTGCCGATCCCTGTGCAGTAGAAAATCCGTGTAGAACTTCAGACTCTCCCCAAATGTACTAATAGCCTACTGTTGACTGGAAGCCTTACCCATAACAAAGAGTTGTTTAGCACACATTTTGTATATTTATTATATATTCCTATAATAAAGCTAGAGAAAATGTTAAGAAAATCCTAACATACATTCACAGTATTGTACTGAAAAAAAAAATGCAGATATAAGTAGACCCATGCAGCTCAAAGGTCAACTGTATTGTGTGTTGTGATCCTACCTATTAGCTAAACTATTTCAGAGTCGTGTTGCTAACAGTCTGAAATCACTGTTGTAATCGCAACCCTCCTGGCTATTTTCTTGAGAAAGCCAGGCTCAGGCATTCTCCGGGGGCAGTAAGCACAGTCACAGCTCTGTGACTTTGTGGCTGCCACAAACCCACCCAGCACCTTCCCCACCCAGCAGCCCCGCCTGCTGTTTCTGTCCCGCCCGAACATCCTGAACGTCTGCCTTCAGCCTCTCTGCTGCTGCCAGGGTCTGCACCCCCACCTCCTGCCCCCACCGCTATCTCCGCCAAGTCTCCGGTCCTTCAGGGCCCCCAGCTTCCCCGCACCAGCACCCTGGTTTCCCCCGAGGCGTCTCTTCCACGAGAAGCGCCGGCCGCCACGCGCTCGGGCTGGCCTGTCCTGCCAGAGCTCGCCAGGTGCGCGCCAGGTGCCGGTGGACCCACGCGCCCACCTGCAAGACCTCAGTGGACCCACACCGCACGGCAGGACCGATCGTCACTCCCCTCGTCAAGGTGATAGAAAGCGCGCTCTGACAGAAGCGGGACGAACCTGCCACGACTTCACAGGAGAATGCAGCACAGAGAAACCAGGGCACGTTTTCTATGATTTCGTCCGATGAATAATGCATTGGGCACGATGCGGGGATATGTATGCCCTCGATTTCATTGGGTTACCGCATGGTTTAAGGATCTGAAGTGTATGTATGCATTTCAGAACTTAGCCTAGACTTTTTAAAAAACAAATTTACTGAGAAATCAGTACTAGATAATTCCCTACAGAAAGGACAACTGAACACTGAGGGTCTAATTTCTGAAGTATTTATTAAAACAAGTGTATTAAGATGGATTTAAAGCACCCCTGTCACCAATTACCTTTTCCCCTCAAAAACCTACTGCAAAATTATAATACAGTTAAAATCTAAGTTTCTTAGATTAAAGAACTTTAGAAACCCTATAACAAGCTCCTCAATTTAACACTCAGCTGACTGAGGAGTACAGCTGTTGGCCAGAAACCTTATGTGGTCTTTCAGACCCAGTGCAGGCAATTACAAAGGCTGTCCCAGGGAAGCGGTCCTCCCCACCCCTGCCCTGCGGACAGCTGGTGTGTGGCAGTCTCTGGGGGACCCATAGTCAAGGACTTGGCCCCTGGCCCCCGCCCTCGCTCTTCCACCTCCGTGAACTCGTGGCCTACCCACCTTCCTTCAGAGCCTCTGTATCGCAGGCACCTCTGCGGAGCCTTCTGTGGGCTGGGGGCGCGTCCCTGGCTTATACCATAGCAGGAAGCAGTTACAGACTTCACTATTAATTTCACTCGGCTTTCTTCCCAGCTTTACTGAGGTAGAATTCAGTGTTGTAATACACTTAAAATGTACAATGTGACGATTTGATATACAGTAGTCCCCCCTTATCTGTGCTTTCAGATCCCCGTGGTCAACCACAGTCTGGGAGCACCTGGTCCTCCTCCTGCTCTATCATCTGAGGGTCAGTAGTGGCCTAACGCCGCGTCCCGATGCCCACGTCTTTCCCCTCTCTTCATCTCCTCATCTCACACCATCATGACAAGGGTGAGTACAGCACAACAGGGTACTCTGAGAGAGACCATGTTCACATAACTTTTATTACAGTATACTGTTGTAACTATTCCATTTGATTATTATTGTTAATCTCTTACTATGCCTAATTTATAAATTAAACTTCATCACAGATATTTATGTATAGAAAAAAAACCCCGTTTTGTATCGGGTTCGGTGGTTTCAGGCACCCCCCCCGGGGGTCTTGGAATGTATACCTGTGGATAGGGGGTGGGGGACTATTGTACGCACACACGGGTCGTGAAAGGGTTCCTACCATGAAGTAAATTAACCTATCCATCACCTCATGGTTTCCCCCCCACACACTTTTTTTTTTTTGGTGAGAATGCTTCAGATCTACTAAGCAAATTTCCATTATATAATACAGAATTATCAGCCGTAATCCCCACATTAGATCCTCAGAACTAATTCATCTTCTAGCTGAAAGGCTGTACCCAACTTGGAGAGCATTATGCTCAGGGAAATAAGCTGGATGAAGACAAAAACCACATGGTATCACTTGTATGTAGCATCTTAAAGCTGAACTCCTACAAACAGTAGAGCGGTGGCTGCCAGGGGCTGGGGGGAGACTGGCCTATTGTCTGAATCCGCTCCTTGAACATTTGGCAGCTCAGTCCTCTCTGGCTCCTGACAAAGACCCTCACAACTTACTTCATTCTCTTGAACAAGCATTCTCGCCCCTCATTTTGAAAAATATGTTGTAACAATGGCTATATGGGAAAACAAGAGAATCAGGAGAAATGAGTTCCCTCATTAAATTAGCAGTGTAGCTCTGGTAGGTCCCTTCATTTTGGAGGCTGGGCCTTCTCGTCTGCAAAATGAGGTTACTTGACTAGATGTTGTTGAATGTTCCTTTCAGATCTAATATGCCAAGGTTCTATGAATCATGCTTCTAAAACGACCTTCTGAAAAATAAAGCAGCAGAATGAAGCTAAATATTTTTTAAAAATTATGTTTACAAGGTAACCTTTACAAAGTAGCATTTAAAAATAAATCATCTCACAACTCAAATGCCTGATAGTGTTGCCCTCACACTGGCCAGCAAATATTTATTATATGTCTGCCGCATGCCAAGCACATATACACGGTGTTTCCTCTCCTTGCCCGTGAAAGAACACTTAGCGCTTCTTCCAGGTGAACTTTCTGCGGGCTCCCTCTTGGCCTGGCTTCTTCCGTTCTCTGACGCGTGGATCAGCAGTCAGCAGTCCAGCTGCGGTGTAGAAAGAGAAGCCTTTATGAAGCATGGGAGATGCACGCTGCCTACAGGAAAGCAACCAGACCTGTAATAATTTACCAGCCTGGTGTAAGTCTCACGATAGCAGTTTGCTCTCACTCTTTTAGGATAGTTCCCCCATTTTGGAGACAAACACCGGCTGCATTGTTTGAGTCTGTTCTTCTCTTCCTATGAGGGCTGTGGTTCCTTGTAGGTTTTTAAGCCTGTTCAACTTAAGATAAGTCTGCTCATGTGTGGGTGGTCACTATTCACTGTGACGGCACTGACACTGCCTGCTTATTATTACAGGTGTGAAAGTTCCAACGGAGACGCGAGGCAGACAACAAACACTATATGGCTGAGTAAGAGGACGTCTACAGACACTGTAGATTTGAGAACATGAATATACAAACATACAGGTACAGTATGACTTATCAAACCTATCTGAGAAAAGAAACTTCTGGAAGTTTTCACTCCCTAATCATCAAGAGCGGGTAATTTCTAGGCAACTGATGAGCCTAGAACACACTACTTTCAGCATATGCCCCGAATAATGTGCCCCTGTGGTGGCTGGAACCACAGATTTCGAGAATACCAGTGATGAGAAAGCTCTTACAATGCTTTTATAAATACGTAAACAGACCATAGTTTTTCCTTGTCTTTTTTACTCTTCCAACACTAGCACTGCTTTTCCCTGTAGACAAGGTGGGGTTATCTTATTAGGAGTATCTGAATGGGCGTAAAGCAAAGGCAAACTTCAATCACTCATTGTACACCCATTACGTTTTTGCATTTACTTGTCTTTAAAAGGGCATGGAATAAATATTTTGGACAAAATGCAGACAACACTTGTCTAAATTCTAGTTTGGATTATAAGTAATAATGCTTTATTACTTTTCAATATGCCCACTAAGTCAAACTGGCAGAATTGTGAAGTAAGGCCCTGTAAGTTATTGGAACGACTAGACATGAATCGTACAAAATGGTAAATTTTTAATAAGCAAATGGATTTTTAAGAGACTTAAAGAATCAACTAGCCTAAGCCGTAAGTGGCGCTTCTCTGCAGCGCAGTATCGGACCACAGCAGCTCACGCGGGAGGGGCACAGGGCAAGCCATCTTACTTGCCCAGAGAGGAGCTGCAGGGCCCAGAGGCGCTAAGTGACGCGCCCGGGGCCACACAGCTGGTCAGTAGTGCCCCCAGTGCTTTCCTCCCTTCGTAAACAGTTCGAAGACGGTCTTCAGCTAGAACCGCCCTGATTTATCGTAAGCGCTTAAAGCAGTGCCCTCATGAACAAACTGACGGCCTCTTCCTTCTTACACTGCAGACTCTCATATTCATGCCAAGGTGAGAGTCACCCAGCGAATAAGACAACATAAAATTCAAAGTCACATCACAGTGGAAAAATGGAAATCTCCAATTAATGTTGGAAAGATACAGTATAGGCTTCATCATCACATCGAACAGTTACAAGTTTCTAGGATAAGACAAAAACAGTCACTGATTCATCTGTTAAACACAATGGGGCAGCGCTTGTTAAGCTGGTTAAGCAGTTAGGCCCTAAAGGCCAGAAGAAGCCTTCCCTGATGCTGGGAGGGCCTCCTCTTCTTTTTCTAGCTCAAATTCACTTCACAGAAATCAGAAGTGAAAAGCACTGGTATGGTTCTGGAGCATACAGAGAGAAGCCAGCAAACTGCAATGCCGCGTATTTAACAGAGTATTTTCCGATTTCCGGGGACTGGTGCAGGAACCAGGGAACACCACAGATCGGGCGGAGATACCCCCCGCCGCCCCGCCACTCTCAACGCGGCTCGTACCTTGTCTCATCCACTCGACCTCTTCCTTGGTGACAAAACTGCACAAGGCTCTTGCCACCGCCAGGCGTATGGCTCCAGCCTGGGACGACCGCCCACCCCCCGAGACTGTGCAGGTCACGTCGTGTTCTCCAAGCCGGTCAAGGAAGCAGAAGGGGAACATCAACTGTTCTCTAGAACACATCACAGGGACAGGTAGCTCACTATCGAGATGCTTGTGTTACAAACTGCTCACACTGTCCACATTCACAGAAAGCCAATCAGGCACACCGGCACGCATACTTCAGTCAACCTGTAAGAGGAACAACTCCTGGTGTCTCTGATGTCGAGAACGCTCTGCGGACAGCCACGTTTCTTCTTCTTCCTGGATAGAGCAATACACACCCTCTCACAGTCGAGCCCTTTTCTCTCATGAGAACCTTGCGAAGCTTGAAAATAACCTGGTAAAGAAGTCTCAAAGTTGGGAAATTCCACTCATCAGCGGAATCTCCTGGGATTCAGTGATCGATTATCCAATGCCAGTTAGATTCACTAAACAAAATGCACCGTAACACATCTGTGTAATGTAGGATGCTCATCCTGACATGGTTTTGGCAGTTACTAGAGCCACAGTCAACTCCGACCCCACCCCCCACCTCCGAAACACCTGCTCCTATGACCGGTTCTTGAAGTGGCAGGTGCCACGTGACACAGTGCACAACACCAGCTGGGCCCACTTCCCTCGGCAGTCTGTGCCCGCGCGGGCCCCAAAGGCACCCCAGCACTGGAGAAGGGAACACGGACAGAACACCGCCCGACCTTCTCTTGCTCAACCCAGCAAGGGACTGCTGAACACCATTTATGTACCAGGTCCAATCACCACTGCCTGTCAGTTACGCTGATCTTGCTGTTTTGCCCCAATAGCTCTACTGAATATTTAGAAAAGCCGATTCATTTTGCACTGACTTGCCTTATCTGACAGTGTAGCTTTCTGGACCTCAAATAAAACTTATACCACAGTGATGCTGAAAGACAGATATGGACAGTTACATTCGACTGTTACTCTTCAAGCTACACGGCAAAATAACTGCATGCAGACAGATGGACAGAACCTTCTCTCTGAACAGGACCTTCCAAGAACACAGTTAATCAGAATCTGCAATAGTGCTGCTTCAACCGGGATGTTGTTTGAACAGGGAAGAAACAACAACAAACACGGGCCTGAAACAACATAAACCCGTATTGCTTTTTTGAATAAAGCAACCAAATCAAAAATAGGAATGTTATAAAAATAATACTGTTCTGGGCGCCTGGGCGGCTCAGTCGGTTGAGCGACTGCCTTCGGCTCAGGTCATGGTCCTGGAGTCCCGGGATCGAGTCCCGCATCGGGCCCCCTGCTCGGCAGGGAGTCTGCTTCTCCCTCTGACCCTCCCCCCTCTCATGTGCTTTCTCTCTCTCAAATAAATAAATAAAATATTTTTTTCAAAAAAAAGATCATTTAGGGCGCCTGGGTGGCTCAGTCGGTTAAGCGACTGCCTTCGGCCCAGGTCATGATCCTGGGGTCCCGGGATCAAGTCCCGCATCGGGCTCCCTGCTCGGCAGGGAGTCTGCTTCTCCCTCTGACTCTCCCCCCTCTCATGCTCTCTCTCTCTCAAATAAATAAATAAAATATTTTTTTCAAAAAAAAGATCATTTAGGGCGCCTGGGTGGCTCAGTCGGTTAAGCGACTGCCTTCGGCCCAGGTCATGATCCTGGGGTCCCAGGATCGAGTCCCGCATCGGGCTCTCTGCTCAGCGGGGGGTCTGCCTCTCCCTCTGACCCTCTTCCCTCTTGTGCTGTCTCTCATTCTCTCTCTCAAATAAATAAATAAAATCTTTAAAAAAAATACTGTTCTAAGTAATAGCCATATTATCATAATAACTAAAGAAAATTTAGAGACTGATAATGTAATTCCACCATTCCACTTTTCCAGCAGGGCAAGATAGGCCAAGACAGAATCTATGGGATTGACACGCAGACATGCGTGGGGGGGGGGGGGGGGGGACTCTGTGTTGCCTGACACAGGTAAGTGGTTAGTGATGTAAGTGACATTACGGAGCAGCTCTGGTCACCCACTTGTTTGGGAGCTTAAACACTTACCTGTGTTAAGTCCTAAAATTCTAAGATTCCCTAACAAATGCTTATATAAAGAAATAGAGACAAATTCAGAAAGAACACATTCTCTAATCTACTCCAGACACACTAGAGGGACTGAACCAGGGGTCAAGGTAAGACAGACCACCAAGAAGGGTCTGGACATTTGGGAAGTGGGTGCACACTAAGGAAGAAAACTTAACTGATACGTAAGTGTGATCCAAAGGGTAACAACTGAAGATGATTATATATAGCTATCGATTTTAACTAATCTGGACTGCAAACAAATACGTGCAAAAACAGTCTTCATCTGCTCTCAGGCATCTCAGACAGAATCCTGAGTTAAAAGAATCAAATTTATTTTGTTCTTTATTATCTAATCAAAGTCACTTTGAAAAAAATATAAAACAATCTCCTTTTCCATCTTCTCTGAACGAACTCCTTATGGCACCAATTCAAAAGCATATAACTTAGCATATGTACAAATGCATGCTCTTATTTATTTTTAATTGCTTAGAATGCTAACCTTATCTCCCCTATTACACGGCTAGTGCTGTGTGAGGAACGTATTTCTTTTGCACAGATGATCAGTTAAGAGTTACTTTAGTGGTTGCCTGACAGAGCAAAGGACTTTCCAAATCAGAAGGGTTATTAATCTTTGTATTCCACAGTACTAGGCACTTAGTATTAAATGTCTGTTGTGTAAGTGAATGGATGAATGAACAAAAACTTTCTGATAGCACTGGGAAGGCAACACAGTCAACGTTCATTCCCAATGATCTATTTGTGCAAACAGCCTCAAGAAAGGACCCTGGAAAGAGAGCTAGCCATCCAGCTGACTTGTAGGCGAGCATCTGAGAGATCAAGTCCAATTCTCCTACAAACTAGCAAAGTGACCTTTAAGTATCTGGGCTAAGGTCACACAGCTAGAAATCAGAACTCGAAGCGAGATCACTTGATTCTCAGTTTAGCTGTCTTCCTGCTGGTTAGTGGTCACCTTGCTGCTGAATCTGTAAGCTCCTGGCTGCTCCTGCACGTGGGAAGGCCAGCCTAGCACAATCCCTACAACCACTTTAAGATGACGAGATGGTCCAGGTGCCCATTTCTGCCAAGATTCACTTAGGCTTCCCAATCAGAGAGGAAGTCTCTTGATGATAGAAATCATATTTAAATAGCTCTGATATCTTCACAACACCCAGAACAAGACGGTGCACACAGACCGTCCTTAGTAAATGCCTGCTGAATTCAAACTGGAGAGTAAGTTCTAAGGATACCTATTGATTTATGAGTTCAAGCCATAACTGAGATTTATGGTTAAAGCATCAGGAGTTATATCTGAAAGTAAACTAACAGGTTATTACTGGTCAAATGCCATTCCTCCAAGCAGTTTCCAGTGCTGACGTTCTGGATCTCTCTCTGGCTTTTCTTAAGGGAAAGAAGAGCTTCCTCTACCCATTTCCCTGTGAGAAGGATGGCAGAATTAGCCTACTCCATTTGAATGGAGTTAGAGTGGGTTACTCCTCGACACAGACACACATACCAATAAAATAAACATACATTTCCCGAAGTCATTATTCGGTCCAGAAACTTGCACGACATTAACAGGGTCCTCTCTTCCTTACATAAGCACTGGGATCAGCAGAGCTTTTGCCTCTTTTCACCTTAAATAGCGCACTACACATTCAGGAAACAGGGCCTAATCATGCAGAACTTGTGTTACTTGTGGATAATGACAGTAACTACTAGAAAAATAATAACCGCCTCCAAAAGAGTAAGCCTTTAGATAGTGACTCACAGAGATCGAAGATGAGCATATTTGGAGAATGTGAATTGTAATACTTATTTATGATTAATGTCTATTTCTCCATGGGATACAAAGTTCAAAAAAATAAAACTGCCATATTTGGCACTGGGAACTAAAGCAAAGCCTGATGAGCTCTTGTTTTAACACATCAATGTCAGGTTTAGATTTGCTTGCTCAGTATGTAATCAGTTTCCTCTGAGTAGCAAAAAAAATCCAGAGCGATAAAGCAGACTTCTTCTAATATTTATGCTAGTAAGGGCCAAGGTTGGTTTCTGTTGTTTTGTGCACATCCGCCCCCCAACTAGGGAAACAGAAGGTGGGAATCTACTTTTCTTTCATTTTGGCATAGTCTGCATTTCAGAAAGGAAGATACATCTAAAATACTCAACTTCCAGTAGGATCTGATAGAGGAGGAAGATTCAATTAACGAGGAATTCTAGAGATGCTTTTTCAAAATCTGGAAAATCACATTTAAAAAACAGTGACAGCTTCCCTCTAGCTAGTTTGATTTAATTACATTGGTAAAGAGAAACAATCATTCAGACATATATAATCAGAAAATCATAAGGCTTTTTAATATAAAGACAAAACGCAAACGCAAAATGAGAAACAAACCTGTCTTGTGTCACTGGGAAGTAAAGCAGATAATCGATTCCATTTACTTTTATTTTTCCACTTCCATGCTCATAAACAACTGCTTCCGCTTTGGCACTCTTTCTTTTACCTTTGTAAATACAGAATTTCTATTAGTAAAAATCTTCGAGGTGAATGGGGTAGGTAAAACGACGTTATATTTTTTCCCCAGAAGGACAATATACTATTACACTATATGTAGTAAAGTTCTATGAGTATTATAAGTCAAACAAAAATAAAACAGGCAAACTACACCATTATCGATGCAATAGAGCTTATTATGGGGTAATTTTGTTCCTCAACTCCATTTTAGGAACACCACAATGATTTAAAATTAGTTTCAATGAGCAATGAAGTAATTCGTATTTATTTATGTTACTTTAGAAAAACAACCACTTTACAGTGTTCTTCTTTGATAATCAGTAAGTATATCTAATCATGTAACTTTTAAAAATATATGAACAGTATAATAAAATATAATTGGTAAAAAAGAAAAGAATCCTCAGGAAAGGTCCCATTTCTTTGAAAGCATTAGTTGAAATGCCAAGGAAGAATGCTCCACTGTGAAGAGTTGCAGGTTTATCATTTAATAGGCCAGGCCTTAAAAGCTGCATCATAATGAAAGTCTGCATGGCTCCAGGGAAGATGTGAGGTTGAGGACCTCAAGTTTTCATGTTTCACAGTTTCAGTAGCCAACAACCAGATTCCCTGAGCATTTTCATTTCAGATGGGAAACCTTATCACAAACATTTTTTGTCTCTGCCAGTTGAAAATGTGAAAAAGATTTAACATAAGTCTAAAAATAAAAAGCATCAACAAGATGGGGAAGGTACGCATCCACATTTTTTCTTGGGACATGAGAAGGTTCAGATTTTTGAAACTTCAACAGAGTCTTAAAAATTAGAAAATTCAATGTTTCGGTAGCAAAAAACAAATGGACCAACTGAATACCAGGGAGTGACAGCAAATAAAAATAATTGTTGTTTCTCAGTTTTCACAAAATTTATTTTCTCTCCACGGAATGTCATTACCTTCGCTGGTGCTGAAGGCCATTCCTTGCTCATCATACTGCACAGGTTCAATCAGCTGTTTTTTTGATTGAATAGTTACACTCCTACGGAATCTCTGCACAAATTCTTCTTCGGCACCACCGTACAGTGTCAATAACCTTTCTAGCAGCCGAATGAACTGTGCATACTACAGACAATAAAATAAAAATTCATTAGAAGATGCAAGTGTAATTGCATTTGCTAAATTTTTTCTATTTTTGTATACCTGATTTTTCCAATGTTGCTTTTCTTGATGAATTTTGACAGGATGACACTCCTGCACCTTCATGCTGCTTTTAAAACAGCTTGCAGATGCAACACTTCCCCTGTGTATCCCTCAGTGCCCAATCTTTTCTTTTGAGAAACAAAAGAGACTTACCAAGCAAAGAAAAACCAGCTTCTCTGTATTTTAATTACATGAAATTGAGATTTAAATTCATTTTCAAAAAATATTTAGATGATCTTCAAGTGTAATTTCTACTCTTTTATTAACTGGATCAAGAGGAGGTTTAAAAATAATTTCCAGTTATGTATAGTAAAATGGGAAGAGTTTGATTTTGAGAAAATGTACCTCTTAAATTATATTTCATAATACATTTGGCAAATATATCTTTAGCTGTTCAAGCTGTGTTACTTTAATGTTTATGATTTCCTTTAAAACCGAACAATCAAGCTATTTAAAAATTCAAGAGATACTTGACTTAAAGGGCAACCTCTTGAAATAAATTATCCCTGCTACTCTGTGCGTTTTTTTTAATAGTTCTCGAACATGTGATTAGAAAGTAAACAACTTGGTATTAACCCCTTAAAATTAGACGCCAGAGTAATCATTCTAAAGTGTTTATGCAGAAGGAGACAACTAATACTCGAGATCCTTAATGTGGAGTGTGAGACCCAATTTTTGATAACCGTATTTGTGTTTTTGTCAACCCTAAAAATCATACTCCTCTGACTTTATCGTGAACATCTGCCATTAATGATTTGAAATGTGGAGAAATCTCAACAGTAAGTTTTAAGAGACTGCTTCAATTATTGCTTCCTGTGCTGTCACAATAAAAGAGAGGGGAATTTTCTGGGTAAGGGTGACAGACCTTGCCACCTGCGGTACCTGGACTGACACAGCTCTGTTCTTCCCCTCCATTTCTGGGCCTGTGCCCTCTGCTCTCAGCTGTTCTCTCAATTCCATCACATGCTGACTATGCACGTACAGAGGGGTAGCTACGAGTCTGGCATGGCCTTTCTGATGAGCTAGGGGTAAGGTTTAAGAAGTCCCTGCCTCCTCCATCTTGATACCAGCCAGCAACTTCAGGATCTCTTCTGCTATCCAGTACCCCAAAAGTACAGCAGACTATCACCCACACATCTACTGTCTATGTATAGGAGATACATACATCATTATGTGTATGTATGGAAAATGCATATATTTGGTCTTCCCAGTTGCACACCTCTAAAAAGAAGTCCTTAGGATGTTTTCAAAATGGAAAAACAAAAAAAAACCCAAAAAACAAACTTGTATTATAAAAAAAATCAAAGCAGCCAGAAAACATAGGAAACAATGAAATGATACATTCAATGAAGAAGCAAAGAGAGATTTTTTTCAGTTAGATCCAAATGCAGCAATAGCGACTTGGCAGTTAGGATATTAGAAATTAACTCCAGATCTACCACTCACCAAATGCCTGACACCTTGTTAAGCAAGTTGCAACGTTTCCAAATCATTAATTTCTCCAATATGTTAAATGAAAAAAAGCGCAATTTAAGTACATGACTTAAAATCAACACGGGTGGCAAGGTACTAACAATGTTAGCCAGTGCCATGGAAGAAAAAATCCTTCTTGGAACAATTTGTGAAACTTACACTCAAATCTTCTAGAAATAATCTAAATTTAGAATATCAGCATATTTAAAACATCAAATTTCCTCAGATAATATTGGCGTATATTAGAGCCTTTAGCAAAAGAGCGCTCCAATGAAAACCTAAAGCAGGGGGCACAGACTTTACAGGGTGTAAGACTCACCTGGGGAGCTGGTTAAAAAGAAGAATTCCTGGAATTTCTGAGCGAGGTCTGAATTCTTAGGAAACTGCATTTTCTAACCAGTTTTCTGGCTGCATTTTAAGTGATTCTGACATAGGTGGTTTCTCAGATTCCAAGATGAAAAATACCACCCTTCTAGATACTGCACACAAGTAGGCCAGGGAGCAGCAAATTGCACGAGGGCGACCATGCGCTCCTTTCTTTTTCTACTTCACCTGTGATAACTCCTTACATTAGCTTGTAAAATTAGCTATCGGCTTTACTGAAGGAGATGAAAACTGACCTCTGCTGCGCTTCCCTAGAACCGCCGGCGGAGGACACCAAGGGCACTTGTGGATAGGAGGGTCTGGCCAGGAGGCATGTCACCTTCCTGACCGCAATAAGGCCCTCTGGCAGAAACCAACTATACATATGTTTTAGAAAGGAAAACTGTCTTAGGAACACCTGCCTCTGAGGAACATTACCGTGACAATCCTAAATACAGCAATTGTCTGCATTCTTACGGCACAAGTCCCCTTAAATTTAAAAGATTAATCACTCACATCTTGATCTGACAGTTTTTCCACTAACATTTCTTCTAGTTCCTCCTTAATCAGCCATCTGCTGCCAATCAGGTCTCTGTTAAAATATCACATATATTCTCTTTTAAATTAACCATGCAATTAGAGTTCTATCACAAAAGATCCCACATGCAGTAGCGATTCTTGATTGGGAAAAAAATTTTTGTATTCTAGAGCATTAAAATTTCACCTAAGTAAACTATTTTTGAGAAGTGTTATTTCATTCCCTCATTCTACTTTAGGAAAGACATCCAGTCTAGCAAATGTTTTGTTGGAGGACTTAAACACGCTCTTGTGGAACTCATGTGATACACCAAGCTACCAGGTTTCCTAAAAATTAACACTGTGCTTATTTTTCATTATTTACTTCAAAGGAGAAGCAATGGACACAACGTTGGCCTGCCAGAGGACTAAAGTAGTAATCAAGTCCAAATGAAGAGCTAGCGGTGGTATGCACGACTTCAGCAAGGGATTCTCAAAGACTCATGTCTTCTGCATAAGAAGTAGTGAAGCACCGGGCTGACAGATCTAACCTATCACTGTTTGCCCAATGGAAGTCCAAATCTTAACATTTACATGCCTGAATTGTTTTTGGTATTTCAGTAAATATACAGCTATATAAACAAAAATTCTGAGGATCTCCTCTTCAAAAGTAAGTGCCATTTAATACATAAATCTGGAATGAAGATAAAAATAACAGCTGTAATATCTACTCCCTCCCAAACAAAAAACCAGCCTGTTATTTTGACCCCTAACTTTAATGATCGATGCTGAAATCGGGAACACACTTCTAGGCTTTAAGTATGCCTAAACACCACCAATGACAAGTGGCATGTTTTTCATTCAAATTTTGCATGTATTTTAATGCGAGAGAAGAACTTACTTGGTTTTAGTTTTTTCTGAAAATAAACCTTTGGCTTGCAACTGGTTCTGATGCTTTTCTGCTTCTAGTAGCTTTCCATATGCTTCCTGTGGCAAATAAAAAATATATACGCTAAAATAAGAGCTATGGTACATTATGACTTCTACTCATATTTTCCCTGTGAGCATCCCTCATTTCAGAAGGGACCTCCTCACAGAATCTAGCTGCACAGCAAATAACACTGAAAACACTTTTTAATTATACTATTTCTCACTCAAACTAAAGGATGGTAGTATAATTTCAATGAGAATTTAGTATCATACATAATAGCATACGTTAACTGATTTTTAAATAACTCTGTAAGAAATTTACTCTATAAAAAAATTCTAGTGAGGTTGGAAAACACCAAAGAAAGCTACAAACTATTTTCCTTTAAGTTCCACAAACAAACAAAAATAAAGAAATCATAATTTATATAGCAATATGCACTTTAAATTTAGGGAATTAACCAGCAAAGTTATGATATTTACAACTGAACTACTTATCTAATATTCAATATTTACATAATATTTAAGTCCTCACCATGTTAGTCTATGTCTTAAAAAGTTTTCTATTATATTTGTTTCATTATTTGATTTGTTTCCATTAATTTACTTTCCAACAAAGTCTGTAAATGTATGTCACTTGTTAAATTGTAATGTAAACCGGGGGGAAAACTGCCATTTTGTTAGAACTTGTAAAAAGCAATAATCTGGCAATGAATAGTATCAATAAAATACATTTTCCAGGAAATGAGTTTACAAAAGTAGAATCATGCAAGTTGTCTCCCAGTTTTTTGACTGAACAAATTTTCATTGAGGACTCACATCCAGTATGTGTGTATTCACTTATAATTTAACATAATCTACCATACTGATACCTAATGAGTAGACATTTTCAAAGGATGAGCCAGAGATGATATAAATGACATTTTTTTCTTGCTGATCATGACACCTTCCAATATCATCAGCTACTTACTGTCAGATAATGAAGACACAACTTGTCACTGTAGACATGTTCATCCGTCTCTCAAACAGTCTTAATAATTTCAAATTTTGGAAGGGCAACTTCTTGTTGGCTCTGATTAAACTGCCAGAGGTTGCTGACAGAGTTTGTTCTAAGAAAAGGGGAAGTGTCCCTTTGCATGGGTCTCTGTCTGTACCAGCGTGCGTACATTAACAGTGTACATGAGGATCTCAAACAAAGTGAAACCATCACCAGCTCGGTAACTGTAAAGTTAAGTTTCCAGGGCAGCAGCGGCAGCGTAAGCGTAGAACTGGTTAGAACTGTGATTTCTCAGGCCCTAACCCAGACTTTCAGATGAGCAACCTCTGGGGTGGGGCCCACTGATCTGTTTTAATGATGACCCTAAGTTACATACACTGACGTTTGGATCTAAACACGAGAAGTATCAAGAATCTAGTTCAACATAATACAGCACAGGGACAAATTCAGTTAATTCTATTCTAGTGTCCATATTCAGTATAACAATCTCTACAACTATACCCAAAGCACAAATCCACCACCTGCAGCAGCAGTACCACAACCGTCTACCCCCAAAGAAAGCAAAAATGAATGTGAGCCATCCACGTGTAGTATGTATGCCCGCTCTTCAACTTAAAATTCTACAATTTATCTCCCAAGAATTGGTAAGCCTCATTTGACTGGTTCTGTAGTTTATCTCCCAAGAATGGTAAAGTCTCATTTGACTTTTAACTCATTTTAAAAGGCTAAGATACTGGACTGTGACCCCACCTGGATACCATATCAGAACAATTTCTGTGCACCTGTTTCTAGAAAGCAATTCTCAAATGCTCTGAATAGGTAAAATAAAGGAAGAAACAAGAACCCAGAAGACGAATCCCACCCCACTCGTACAAAGTAGACAGACACAGCGCACACGGCCTCTCTCTGTGCACCAGGCCCCCCGCTGTCAGCAGGCTGGCCCCAGCCACACTGCTACACCTCGGGGCTCTGGTGAAGGAATGGCATCAGTCTCTCTGGTCTGCTCCAGAGTCTGGACGTTCTGAGGGTACGGAAGTCAGAGATGTTGTATCTCTCAAATCCAGCTAAAAAAAATGCGAATCCAAGAGAACACCAACAACAGTAATAAGATGCCTTCTCCTGTTTGTAAGGCTGTTAGTTTCTGCAATAACTATGGCAACTAGAAATAATAATAATAATAGCTACTATTATTATTATTGACCTGCCTCATAGTCAAATTTCAAGTCAATGTGTGGACTGCTAAAGTCATCATCATTTTCCAGTGACTCTGGACCGACTTTTAAGTCCACACTCTTCTTCACATTTTTTTCACTGTCATTACCTTCCATGGTTATATTTAGCTCCATAATCATTTGGAAGTAGTACAAGTGAAATAATGAGAAAAAAATGTGGACTATGAGAAAACCACCCATGAATGGTACACGTCAAATTTCAAACATGGTAAATTTTATTCATTTACAGCAGACGCTTACACTTTGATGGTTGTGATCCATCGAATTACATAATTCTCATTAAGCCACCCCATACATTTCTTTAAATAGGAAAACATGCATCAAGTATTTGGCGCAATGCCTGACCTGTAGTAAAGGTCAAGAAATGACAGCAGGGGGGAGGTACGGCACTCAAGAGTCTAACAACTGAAACAATTTTACTGGTGTACCATTTCTATTTGTTCTTTCTCTTCTATATAATAAAGCCACTCTAGAGATCCTATCTTGGTTAGTTAGAGACAACAGCTCTCTGGAAAGTAGATTCAGTAGCTTCAGTTCCCTGAAGAGATGTGTACTAACCTGCATCAAAAAATCCCTGAGGGTATAAAATATGCCGGGAACTGTCAACATCACAGATTATCACTGGTAGCTTCTGATATATTGTTGAGTTTCCACTTAATTTTTAAAGGACACTAGAGAATTAGTGTGACCCCACCTACACTAAGTTTATATACTGTACTTAATAGTATAATTTTCAAATACGACAGGAATAACCCAGATGTGAAATGCTGAATCATTAATCACAGCTATGATTAATATTTCATAAAATCAAAGCAAGCCTATCCACCCCTCGTGTCATCAGATTTCCATAATGTATGAGTCAAATTTAGAAGGTGCCTAATTTGAAAATACCAGATGCTCAGGTTGCAGAAAAGGGATGCGTTTAAACTAAACCCTTCCAAGAGCATGAGCAATATGATTTTTTAGTATTCTTCTAAAATCTGTTTTGGCTATATTAATCATGTAGAAATTCCAATTTTAGGAAGGGTAAACAAAATTTCTTGTTGGGGTGGTATCGGAAAAGTCAACTGTATTTTGATACCCAAAACATACACTAATAAACTAATAGTAACTGTCATCTTAGATGCTAGTTAAATAACAGAATAGTAATGGACTTAAAATATGTGTTTGCCAAAAAGAAAAAAGTCACAGAAAATCAGATTTCCTAAGTAGCAATCTCCCCAATTTTTTGGCTACTGGCATATACAATGAAATAAAATGAAATAAACATAATACAGAATTCATTTATCCTAGTTACTGCTATGTATCTAATGTTTTAAGTGACATGCTGCTATCACACACCCTTGCTATCACTTTGTGAATACAATATGCTGCCTTAAAAAAGCATGCAGAGATATGTCAGCGCCACTCCGTAGCTTTTTAAAAATCAGCACTTTGCACAGTTTTAAAGGAGTTATTTCATAATACCTCATTGTGAGAAGAGTCGCTGTTTTAACTCCGTTTTTAAAGATAAGGACACTAAATCAAAAGTTTTAAATATTCACCACAAGGTTCCAAAGACGATGCAAACTACGTAAGAATTCTGTGGCACTAAGTCCCCAGGACTTCTGCTCATTGGACTCTGGGATCTTCACATAGTGAAGTCACTTCAAGGGCTGTTGTTCTCAGGCTTTATGAACACAGAAGGTTAAGTCATTTCAAATAAATCAGAGACTTTCTAAATAAGCCAGCCTTTTTTCAAAAGGCAAATGAATCCCGTTTATGCATAAGTTATCAGGATTAGAATTACTTGGTTTTCTTTCAAATTTTAACTTTTTTTTCCACTTCAGCAGAATAGTTTAATATATAATGATCTACTTATTCCTTAATTTCAAACTTTTTTGGGTACGATTTCATCTGTGGCCATGTAATTCCTTCAATTCATGGAAATACTCTGTAAATATTCCATTGTTTACTGTAAAACGAGTCCTAAAATATAAATGAGGTTTATAGATTTAAGAGGCTCAATTCCCAGTGCAGTAAAAACTGCATCTAGGGGCACCTGGGTGGCTCAGTTGGTTAAGCGACTGCCTTCAGCTCAGGTCATGGTCCCAGGGACCTGCATCGGGCTCCCTGCTCGGCGGGAAGCCTGCTTCTCTCTTTCCCACTCCCCCTGCTTGTGTTCCCTCTCTATCTCTCTCTCTCTGTCAAATAAATAAATAAAATCTTTAAAAAAAAAAAAAACTGCATCTAAAAAGAGATGCACAACCATATCATAGAAATTGGGGTGAGGGAGACCATGTAAAATGTCAGCAAATGCCTAAGGTGTTTGATAAATGATTTTTTCCTAAGCCCTGGTTTCATGGAAAGTTAAAAGGGGCTCTGGGCAGAAAGGGTTCCGTGATCTGATGTTTGAGCAGTAGTGGGTTACTGTAACAGGCTTCTTCACTGCTGGACTTTATCATGCTATCACGCGGCTCCTGGTGGAGTTTCCCAGGACTCAATGCGCGGCACTGCCAAACTCACTTCGTGGCAGAACCTTTTTCATGAAGAATATTTTATAACCTGTGTTTCTTACCAAGCACTTCGGGAAAGGCTGCAGTAGACATGCCTGGACTTAATGAATCATATTTTACAAAGGGTTCCCATTTCAGAGTCAAATAATCACCTCCCGTAATGAATTTTAAATAATTTTTAATTTGCTTATAGTGAGTGAATGTAAAATTTTTCAAGAACGTGTATATATTAACAAATAAACCTGAGTTAACATTTTCCCCATAATTAAAGGCCCTGCCCAAACTCAACCATGGCTGTCCAGGTTGTAAATGTCTCGCTCATGGGCATAGCCTTCTTCCACCACCAGCGTGGCCGGTCTGGACAGGTACCCCCCCACCCCCCACCAGGCTGGCAGGTCCCAAGGGCACACAGACCACCCTTCTGGCCTGTCTCCTGACTGTGCACACTGGGTTTTCTCCCTCATCTACAGCAAGGCTATTCACAGCTCAGTTGTACCATGGCATAGGATTTTCTTTTCTGGCCCGCACACATATATCCTTTAAAAATTCTTCCCTTTCCTTCATACTTTGGCTCAGTTGTTTCAGAAACTTCTTTTTCTCCGTTTGTTCCTTCTGCTCCTGAAACCCTCAACTGAAACTCTAAATCATGTCTGAAAAGTATACAAGTTCTCCTCGTCACATGGCTATTATGGAAAAGGAAAGCCATCCATTTTGGGTGAGAAAAGACAGATGAGCCAGTGCCATCAAGCGTGGAGCTCCCTTTTCAATACTCAACGATCCTTTGAGAAACTCCTTAAGTCTCTTATTTCTTCTTACTTAAACTACTTTTTATTGTTTAAGACACTACTTGTTCATACTGTCCTATACTTTTTACATTACATATGCACACCACATTCACTACAGTGTAAAATCAGTGGGTTTTTATTGACTTTCCCAGGAACCTGAAGACATATATCGTATCCGTAGGAAAAAGGGAGTTCCAAGGAAGGTGGTAACGACCTTTGGAAGGTAACACATTTACAAAGTCTGAGACCACCACGGATCAGCACATTTCCTCCACTTTACGCTTTCCTATCATGCTTCACTTCTGGGCAGGAACAATAAATCGCTTCTTTCTTCTCGTCCTCATCTTCCCTCAAAAACCTCCCTGCCTCTCCATAAGGAGAGGACTGATGATAGACTGGATGGACTGATGATAGGCCAACTGGAAACAGTGTTCACTAAAACACTGTATGTAAGCCACATTGGGACTCTCTTGTATTAGTTGCTGTGAGGTAATATATAAGTCTATTACACAAACAGTGACCAAATACTAATTTACCAAATACATTATTTACAGAAGATAAAAAGGTTAATTGATGTCAGAAAGGTCTCCTGGGCAGAACTGCACACATGCTCTAGATCTGTGGGGTTTTTTGTTTGTCAAAAAGCTTGGCCCATGACTGCCATGCCTGACACAATTACAGTTGGCTAATGATAAAAACCTAGTTTGGCTTATGGTCTTTTTACCCTGTCACATGGTAAGAAACTGTATCAAAGAAATGGCAAAAACAAAGATACATTTCCAAGTGTTTAGGGCCTGCCACAGTCTTTGGGGGCTGACTCCTTGCTGCAGTGGGATCACTCTCCTACAGAATGAATAGCATCTGACACCCCACCCACCCACCCCCAACCCGCCGCCAAAAGGCAGACCGCCCCCCTCCCCGGCCAAGAGAAGGCAGAACAAAGGAGCAAGCAAACACATGAAGCAGTTTTATCCTTTTTCTTTTTACCCAATGCCTGACTTCCCTACAAAACCACTTCTGTAAGCTGACCAGTGGATATTTAGTCACATACTATTTCAAAGTAAGAGAGCGCCTCTAGGAGGAAGCTCATCTGCATGATCTAGGAAATGAGGCTGGGAGGACTACAGTTGTTAATTAATAACACCGGCCATAGAGGGCGCTGATTGGCATATATTTAGGAAGGCATTTGTCCTTTTCTCCACGCATAAATTTACTTTAAGATTCCATAAAAAGAAGTTTTGCAAATACAAGGTTTTATTAATTATCCGCATTAAAATGCTCAAGTTAATCCAAAAGAGCTGTAATTCATACGTGTAAACTGTTCCGATGAGCAATACAACAAATGCGAAGCCCCACACTGCTTGGGGAGTCAGAACACCCAACAATATAAACTGCCCTAAATTACTGGAGTTTCACTAAAACAGAAAAGCCCAAAGAACTCTGCTCTACGTAACAGAAACTATACTACTCAAAAAGAAAAAACCAAACCTTTATTAATCAGACGTAATTTGACATTTTCAGTCAGAGTACGGTAGCATTTTATCCACTGAGAAACCGACCGGTTTCTTGAGCAGTACCTTTCTAAAACACAGAAACCAACCCAAATCGAAAGTAGGCCCCTTCTACAATGTGTAATTTCTTCACTCTGAAGGAATGCAACAAAACATCTTGCCCTTGGGTTGCTCAGTTTCAGCCCAAACAAATGCAAATGGCATGTCGGCTGACAGCTGTTTGGTAAGGCTCCCCTACACGACCTGCATGCTTTACTTTTTTCCGTGAAACTCGGGATGAAAGGCAGAAGGCAGGAAGAGAATTAATGTAGCATACAGTCTAAAGGCAACGCTACAACCGTGATTAAGTAGAAAAGTTAAAAGGCACAGATTTTCCACAGCTTCGCTGCGTGCAACCCATCCGTGTAACAAGTTGACAGGCCTAGCGCGTCAGCTCCATCATCCCCTCCGACAGCTAAAACGCAGCACTGCATCCCTTTTCAGAGAAAATTTGCGTCTGCACCATGAAGCGTTGTACATTATTTCTTAGCACTGCAGGGGGCTCAAGTCCATATGGAACCTTCACAAATATTACCACAGATCAAACCAGCAGCGTTGGGAGGCAGATTTGACATACCTATTTAAATGAACAGCAGGGGTCCTCGGGCAGCCTCGGGCTGCGGGGGCAGCTCGGCGGAGCGCCAGCCGCAGCTCCATTAGTCAGCAAAGACACACTCTACATTTATCATTCATTTCATTTCTGCCAGGGCAAGAAGCTCATTTGCCCAAGGTCAACAAAAAGCGAAAAGAAGGTTTTCTTTTTTTTCCCCCAGAAATAAATGTACCTGACAAGTGGGGATTTTGTCCTTTGGGTCTGTGGAGCACAAATAAACACCAGAGAGTTCTAAAAGAGCCGAGTGAATGTGTGCCTGGGATTCAAGCAACCTGAAAGCTGACTGAGGATGGGGAAGCCCAGTGAGTGTTTTTGCAACTTTTAAAAATCGTATTGTGAAGAAAATAAAACTTGACATCGTGTTCTTAAGGTAACACGGGTCCTGTTGTCAAAAATCGGGTATTAGCATCTAGCCATTTTATTCATAGCACCCTAGGGAACCCCCAAATTTGCACGCTACCAAACACAGTTCTGAAACAACAACAGAAAGCTGTTCCCAGTACACTCAAACACAGATGCAAGTCACGGTGTAATAAAACCATTTCTTAGGTCTTTTGGAGGCACAAATTCTAGACTCCTAATGCTGCACTTGCCTCTGAAAGGCAAAAACTGTGTATGAATAAACAGAAAGTACAGACGACATTTTGACTCTCTCCGTGGTCAATGCCTTACAGCCCCTGACAGCAGCACATACTCGTCCCCTTTCCAGCTTCGCACCTTACCTTCTGTGCATGCATTATTACTCAGTGGAGCACTTACCTCCTAAAACAATCTCAATTTGCAAGAACCAGCATTTTAAGGCCAAACCATCCTGATACAAATTCTATGATGTTTATTTACCTTTAGCAAAAATGAATTAATAATACATACAGTCTTTCGACATACTGCCTTACCTCTAGAGGTCTTAGTTTCGCACAATAGGAAACATACTAGGTAAATCCTGAAGCCGAACAAAATATCTGGTACAGTCACTTAGCTTACAGTTCATATTAATCACTGATGTAATATACTTACATGCATTAATGAATAATACGACTGTTTGCCAGTGTAAAAGAGAAAATGAAATGGACGGCCATCTTCTCCCCACTGGATTGCTAATAAAAAGCCAGATGAAAACAAATAAACAAAAATAAAAATTAATGCCGAGAGAGACCAAATAGCTATGTTTAACTGAAGTTAGGAGACATGTCTACAATTCTGATTAACTTTTAAAATGACAAAACAGCATTAATATTTAGAATTTTAATATTTAGTTCAGCATGTTTAATGTGCATGCAAACTATTTAGGATATTTAATATTCCACACTCATTAACATAAAACAATGTTTGTATCTGATAATATTCCTGTATATTTCATCATGAGAATTCTAGAACTTGTTTTAAATAAACACACATAAAATAGCAAAAATCATCTCGTTGGAACAAAAAAAATCTAGGTTTAGCTATAAATACAACACACTCCCATATTCTTAAAAAGGGAAACTGATAAAGTAATGACATCATACATTCAGGAAATTAGGAAAAGGCATAATAAAACAACAAAGAAAAAAAACTAAATGGATTTTTCCATGCCACATTATTTGTTCCAACTCTGTGGTGACATACCTCCGAGAGTTTAAATGTCTAAAACAGAAGGGGCCCCCACAAGGTGTTATGTGTAATTCCTTTTGAAATACAGATGGTCATTCACATCTAATAAACACCAAACAAACTGAGGAATGAAGTCACTGTAGTAAATGAACCAAACCTGAGTCCACATCCTTTGCCCTTATTTCTACCGAGTTGTTTCTTGGTTAACCATTTGTGGGAACTTCAATATGTTAAAGGTATACTCCTCTGTCAATTACAGAAGTTGAAAACTCTTTTCTTCCAATCTGTCACTTTTTTTAAAAAGATTATTTTTTAGAGAAAGCATCTTTCTTTTTTTTTTTTAAGGATGAGGTGCTTTATCTTTTTTTTTTTCCCCATGGGGAGGGTGTGTGAGACAAACACAGACAGCCTTAATGTGTTGAAATCCTGTGTCACCCACCTTTTAATTCGGCTTACAGTTGTCTTTCATTGTCAAGAAGTTTAAAATATATGTATGTATACTGTAGAATCTGTCACTTTCCTCTATGGCACGGTTTATCAGCTGTTTCTCACTATCATCCCTACTAAAGAGCCTTGTTAGACATCTTTTTCCTAATTGCCTTACTCCCCATGAAACTTCAATACCACCAATATATTGTGGATCTGCTGATGTACACGGTGGCCCTTTGGAGGGCTGTAAACATTCTAACAGCTCAGACTTTTCTCATCTCCTATGAATCCATTTATGCCCCCCCGGGGACAACATCACTCCTATGGAGAGAGCATGCTTTAAGACTTTAGGCTTTCTAGAAACTATTTTCCTATATTTTCTTCTGGAAAAAAAAATTTTTTCATGTTCAGAAATTTCATTTGTCTGAAATCTATGTTCATCAGGCAGAAATCCAAGTTATTACCTTGTCCAGCAAAGAGAATCTTTATCCCATCAGTTTTTTGATACTATACTCTTCTGTTGAGTAATCTTTTTTTAAAGATTAATTTGAGAGAGAGAGAGTGTGTGAGAGAACACTCGAGCGAGCAGGAGCAGGGGTAGGGGCAAAAGGAGAAGGAGAGAGAATCTCAAGCAGACTCCACGCCGAGCACAGAGCCCAAAGGGGGGCTCGATCTCATGACCCCGAGATCACGAACTGAGCCAAAACCAAGAGTCCGACGCTTAACCACCCAGGCGCTCCACTACGCTCTTGTGTTGAAATACCACCTGTACAATAAATAGAATACTTCTGCTTCTGAGGATAACTGACATTACACATAGGTCACTTTAAGTGAATATATTTAAAACAAAGACCAAAATTTCATAGTAAATTAGGAAGAAAAGTCTTGATAGGGATTTTAGCTTAAAAAAGAAAAACAGATTCTTATATGCCAATGGTTGTGGATGAATTAAATACTTCTCCAACATCATTTTCACACACTTCATGAAATCCTGCATATTTTCCAATATTTATAACTTCACTATGCAATCCATTTGCTCTGTATCGTTAAAGCAGTCAGTTAGAAAGCGCCTAAAAAAGACAAATATCATGGTTGCAGATAAGACTCTACTGTAAAAGTTGGGAGGGGTTTCTGAGTTGGGTCTCATTTCATGTGTGAGAGTGTGAGCATATAGAGGTGTGTGTGTATATACTTGATTTCATAATACTTCATTCAATCTAAGATGTCACAGATTTTAAGATGTCCCATCATGTATCTTATACAAAGAAGGAAGGAAAAAGTGCTGATCATCATGGTTTACATTAATTGTAAAATGAATCCTGTTGTCAAATTGTTAAAACTGAAAACTGTTTTAGAATTCACAAAATGTGGTATAAACAAACATGCTAATGCTGAATAATCTCGTCCACAGGTTGGTCTGTCAGAATACTGCACCACTACCACCATCTGATTAAAATAAGCTTTTGCTGCATTTTGATAGCTGGTAGGGTAAGGTTGCTACATTATCCTTACTTCTTTTTAAAAATTTTTCTCTGCTTCTTGCACATTCACTCTTTCAAATAAAGTTTATAAATATCTCCCAAAAGTCCTACCAGGACTTTGATTCAAATTATACATGTTTGTTCATAATTTTTAAGGAAATAACTTTGCAGTATCTTTCTTTACAGGAACATGGAATCTTTTTTCTATTTAGGCTTTCACCTATGAGCTTTAAGTTTCATAATTTTCTACATAAAAACTCTTGCATATTTTTGTAAGTTTTATCTGTATTTTAGTTTTTGTTGTTCTTGACACTGCCCCCTCATTTAACTATGTTTTCTATAAAATTAACTTTATGCAATATACCCTTCTTTCACTATTTTTTCAACAAACTTTTTCTTTAGAGCAGTTCACAGCAAAGTTGAGAGGAAGACAGAGATTTCCCATGTACCATCTTTGCTCCCACATATGCATAGCCACCTCCATTATAAACATCCCCTAACAGTGTGGTACCTTTGTTACAAGTGATACGCCTACTCGCTCTGGCGCATCATTATCACCCTAAGTCCATAGTTAACATTAGGGTTCACTCTTGTTATACACTCGGTGGGTTTGGGCCCACCACTATAATACTATACAGAGTAATTTCAGTGCCCCAAGGATCCTCTGTGCTCCACCTACTGCCCTATAAACATCTGTCTGCAGGTTTCTGTGTGGCCTTAAGTGTTCAACCCCTCTGGATAAATACCAAGGAACACAAATGCTGGATCATATGGGAAGAGTTATGTTTAGTTTTGTAAGAAACCGCCAAACTCTCTTTAAAAGTGGCTGTACCATTTTTGTAGTCCCAAGAGCTCCTGTTGCTCATCGTCCTTGGCACAATTTGGTGGTGTCAGTGTTCTGGATTTTGGCCATTCTAACAGGTATGTAGTGATATCTCACTGTTGCTTTAATTGGCATTTCCCTGATGTGAAGCATCTTGTCATATGTTTGCCATGTATATATCTTCTGTGGTATCTATTAAGAACTTCGGCCAATTTTTAAATTGGGTCATTGGTTTTCTTACTGTTGAGTTTAAGAATTCCTTGTCTATTGTGGATAACAGTCCTTTATCAATATGTCTTTTCCAAATATTTTCTACAATCTGTGACTTGTCTTTTCATTCTCTTGACAGTGTCTTTCTCATAGCAGAAAATTTGAATTTTAATGAAATCCAGCTTCTCCTTTGGTGTTGTATCTAAAAAGCCATGGCCAAACCCAAGGTCTTCTGGGTTATTAACTACTGATTCAATTTCTTTAAATGATATAGGCCTATTCAAATTGTCTACTTCTGGTGTAAGTTTTGGCAGATTGTATCTAACCTACAAGGAAATGGTCCATTTCATGTAGGTTATTGTATCTGTAGGCATAGAGTTGTTCATGGTATTCCTTGATTATCCTTTTAATGTCCCTGGGATCTGTAGCGGTATCCTTTCTTTCATTTCTGGTACTAGTAATCTGTGTCCACACTCCTTTCTTTCAGTTAGCCTGACTAGAGGCTCATCGATTTTATTGATAAAACTGACATATAAAATCTATTATCAAAGAACCAGTTTTTGTTGATTTTCTCCACTGATTTCCTGTTTTCAACTTCACTAACTTCTGCTATAATTTTTATCATTTTTTCTTCTACTTACTTTGGATTTAATTTGCTCTTCTTTATCTAGTTTCCTAAGATGGAAGCTTAGATAAGTGATTTTAGATCTTCTTTTCTACTATACGCATTCACAATGCTATAAATTTCCCTCTGAACACATCTTTTTATTCTTTTTATAAAGATTAAATATTAGAATTCCCTTGCCAGAGGCAAGGCTGAAGTTGACTGTTCTAGACTCTTTCAGTACATTTACCTATGTCTACCTACTGAAATACAGAGGACTGTCTGCATGTTTTTTAAAAACACAAATGGTATTAAGCTGTATTTACACTACATACTTCCTATAGACAATTTGTCTTCCCCTGCCCCCAAAATTCATGTCGGAACCTAATCCTCAATGTGCTGGTATTTTGGTATGGGGTCTTTGGGAGGTGACGGGGTCATACGGGCAAAGCCCTCATAAATAGGATGAGTGCCCTCACAGAGGGAACCCCAGAGATCCTGGGTCCCTTCGCCATGTGAGGACACAGGGAAAGACAGTGGTCTATGAACCAGGAAGCAGGCTCTCACCTGCTGTCTTGATTTTGGACTTCCCAGCCTCCAGAACTAGGAGAAATAAATTTCTTTGGTTTGTAAGCTACCGAGAGTATGGTAACCTGAATGGACTAGGACAACACTACACCATTTTCACTTCCTTTTCTCACCCAACAGTGTGTCTCATCTGTACCGATACAACTGGAACTACCTTTTTCTCTCTTTTTGGGGGGGATTGAGAGACAGAAAGCGAGGGAGAGAGAGAGAGAGCGGGAGTATGTGTGAATGAGGGGGGAGTAGTAGGGCAGAGGGAGAGGAGAGAGAGGATCTTAAGCAGGCTCCAGTGTCAGTGCGGAGCCCGACACAAGGCTCGATCTCACAACCCTGAGATCATGACCTGACCCAAAATCAAGAGCTGGCCGCTTA